TAAGTGGGAGAACTTGCACAACTGGTGGCTGACTAAATACTTTTTTGCCCCACTGTAGCTTGATCTTTCTGTACCATTGCTTGTGTTTCATCTAAATCTTCTTGGCTTGGAATTTATCATTATACTCCAGTAACTGGATATTCTGAGCTTTTAAAATTTTAATCAGTTTGATGTTGTGCATATTCAGTGGTTGGGAAGCATGCTGAAACTGAGTTGTCAGACTTTTCTTGGCAAACACCAGAACTGGAAATGGCACAAGCTGAGATTTAAGGATTCAAATGTTAATAGGTTTATTGCAAAACTGTATTCATTATGAAAGAATTTCAGCAATTGCTATATGTCAGAGGCAAGCTCTATTTATAGTGAAATCAAGTTTCAAATTCCTGCACCATTTTCTTCTGCTCTTGTGGTGCAATGGGTTTTAAGCTTTCTTTTGGTGGGAGGGGCAGTCTCTGTAAGTCCCTTGTAATGGACTAATCTGGATTTAAGTTGTTTGCTTTTGATCTTGTAAGAACTTGACTTCACAGCTGTGAAATAACTTAATTGTGCAGTTGTGAACTATTTCCAGTTGTAAATGTACTGTATATGAGCAGCTTACTTAAGCCCACATTTTATGAACAAGCCACAGATACTTATTTTGACTGCACACTTGGTAGTGCAAAATGCACAGCGACCAAAAGTAGTAAGGATTAGAATAAGGTGATATGCCTAAAACCAGAAACTGGGTAAATGCTGAAATGGGGCCTAAATGTCAAATCCATTAATTAATTTTCCAGATTTGCTGCTCCTGGTCCAACACTTGCTTAAGGAGCATGTTCTGAATCATCTTCCACTTCCCTGCCCACACACATCACATTTGCAGAAACTGAAGAGAGCATATTAATGAAAAATGTCTTTGATGTGCAGCTAACTTAATGGAATTTACTGTCCTAAAGTTTACTAAAGGCAAGCTGCTTTTAATAGCTTTAAGATTTTTCTTTAATTTATAGAGGATGCATGTATTTCTGGTCAGCCTCTATAGCTTACTGGCCAAAGAGTCAGTTCTTTGTATTTGAACAAGGAGTTTCAGTGTGGTATAAAACTTAAATCCAGATGCTAGGATAAAAAGGCCATAACTTTCATGCTTTGTTTATGATCTTCCAGCAGCTGGCCGCTGTTGGGAACAGAAAGGAGGATGAAGTTCGACCTTGTTCTATCCTATTACATATTTGTAATATTCTAAATCAACAAGTGAACTCTGGATTATAATTCCTATACCTCACACATACTTTTTTTTTTAAGTATTGAGTTGTCTTGCAGATTTAGAGCGTTCTTACTTTCCCTTTTCATAGTGTATTCTCAAGACAGAAATACCGAAATTAATGTTTAAACAAGGTGGACTGGCTCCTCCATAACAGAATTCTGTATATTTTGTAGACATCTATATAATGGTAACACGTAAAATGGCAAGGATGGTTGCAGCAAGAATTTCAATAGCAATCAACTGAAAAGTATTATTATTGCTGCTATTGTTAGGTAGCTTGTAGCTTAGACACCTCCATGGCTGTTTAATGGACAAAACCTAATCAAATGAAGGCAGTAGATGGACAGTTATAAACAATATACACAAAATATGTTATTCTCTTATCACAGACTTTGCTTCTACTGAGGAAATTATTGATGTTAAAATAGCAGTATTACAACAATAACAACAATAGGCTTTATAGTCAAAGACCCAAACATCTGAACCAAAAAACCCACACATATTAAAACAGTAAACACGAATAAGTAGAATGAACATAAAATGCAAATCAACTAGAGCAGAGGCAGAATATTAAGAATATTAGATAACTGAAAATCTAACAACAGTAGCACTTTCATCACATTTAGTGACCCTTCTGGAGATACTTGGTAATCAGTCAGCTAGAAGGAAGCAGATAGTCTCCTCTGACCTTCCGTGGTTGTGACTTAAGAGGTATAATTAGTTCACAGTTTGCCATGCCAGGATGTCACAAGAGAATATGTGAACTTTTTCTGTTTCCTTTAACTCAGAGGAACCTGGGATCCATATGTGGTACAAGTACAACTAAATACGTTTATATATATTTTTATTTTTATTTTTATTTATCCACCCTCTCTGTGGAAGGCCCTCTTACCACCTCTTTCATCAAAACTCTGGGGTATCTCTAAAGGATGAATAGATTTTATTGCCACCAACTACTTTCCTGATTTGGAAATTGGAAATTATTTTGTTTCTCTCCTCTATGTCTGATGTGTATACCTCAGGAATCTCTGTTACCATGTTTTGAGTGGCAAATCTAATATCCAATCATTATATTCCCCTTGGTTGTTTAATATATTTATGGATAAACATATAAAGCAAGCTTGTGGTGACTAATGAGTTTTGTTAATTGGAAATATTAATGCATGTGTACTTTTATATGCAGATGGTTCTGGGTTAGCTAAGAACCCAAATGATTGACAACAAATGTTAGACAGATTGTATGATACAGTGAAGAGAATGGGTCTGAAAATTAATGTTTTGAAGACAAGATAGTTGTGTTTGATATGGAAAAAGGAAAAAAGGATTGCAATTTATACCTAAATGGCAAAAAACTAGAGGAAGTAGATTTCGTGTACCTTGGTGGAATGTTTACTAAATATAAGAAAATGAACAGAGACACTTTAAGATGTACAAATGCTGATAGCAGAGTAATGCGAAGAATTAATATTATCAAAAGAAGCAAAAATTGCTGTGTTAAGAGTGTGCTTCTGCACTCTTTGTTATTTATTTGGCCACACAACTTGCACATTGTGACTCTGGTGGCTAATGTAGGATTAAAACATAAACCAACAAGCTAAAAACAACTAAAGGAAAGCATACTATAAACAGGGCCAATTCACAACCATTCAGTTTCCAACCGTTACAGATAGTACTCATCCAGTACCCTGGCCCACTGCCTGGGGGAAAAGGCATGTCATCAAGGTCTTACGGAAGGTCAACAGGTTTGGGGCCATCTGAATCTTGTCGGGGGGGGGAATGCTGTTCCAAAGGGCTGGTGCAATGACAGAGAAAGCACACCACTTAAGTCCCACCAGATGACAGTGTTTTATCTTACGGAAGGTCAACAGGTTTGGGGCCATCTGAATCTTGTCGGGGGGGGGGAATGCTGTTCCAAAGGGCTGGTGCAATGACAGAGAAAGCACACCACTTAAGT